CAAGAACAGGAAAGCCAGATTAGACTTTGCCAGAAAACATCTAAAAAAGCCTCCCATGTTCTGGAATAAGATTCTTTGGACTGATGAAACCAAGATTAACTTGTACCAGAATGATGGGAAGAGAAAAGTATGGCGAAAGAAAGGAACAGCTCATGATCCAAAGTATACCACATCATGTGTCAAACATGGTGGAGGAAGTATTATGGAATGGGCATGTATGGCTGCCAATGGAATGGGCTCACTGGTGTTTATTGATGATGTGACTGCTGACAGAAGTAGCAAGATGAATTCTGAGGTGTATAGGGCTATACTCTCTGCTCACATTCAGCCAAATGCTACAAAACCGATAGGACGCTGCTTCACAGTGCAGGCGGATAATGACCCTAAACATACTGCGAAAGCAACTCAAGACTTTTTAAAGGCAAAGAATATTCTTCAATGGCCAAGTCAGTCGCCTGATCTCAACCCAGTAGAGCATCTAGCAAACAAGCTAGTAGACCCACAAACAAGCAGCAACTGAAGGTGGCTGCAGTGAAGGCCTGGCAAAGCATCTCCAGAGAGGAAACTCGGTGGAAACTTGATGTCCATGGGCTCCAGACTTCAGGCAGTCATTGACTGCAAAGGACTCCAAGTATTAAAATTGTGGTTATATTTACAATTATGTCACTTTGTCCAAATACCGTTGAGCCCCTGAAAATGGAAGTACAAATTTAGTGCTTGTTTTACACACGCTTTGAAAAATGAGACCCTGGTCTTGCGAGCTTCTACCGTGGGTGGCTCTTATGCTAAAGCATGGCTGGATTCCTTGATGAAATGTAAGTCAGCTAGAAATCAAGCTCTTGCTTATATCTTATAATGACAGGTAGTTAAACAAGTAATCCTGGCATTTAATTTCGTATCAAGAAAAGGTAGCACAAGCAACTTAAATTTGGGAAAACCCCACTATGTCGCTCCTCCACCCAGCACCATGCATCATCATAAAGTATGACTAATAAATGAAGCCGCTCTCCATCAGCTCAGAAGTGTGTTGTGATTGGCCAGGATTGAGTTTGATTAGACAGTGGCTCATCTGAGTTGCTCTTTCTGAGTAAATTTCTCTGAATGGCTCAACTCAAATTTTTTAAACATGAATTTCTATTTCCTGAATTTTTTAAACCCTTTTTTTTTAACCTAAAATTAAAATAACATCAAATTTACACATTTTTTCAGGCACTACAAATTTACACTTTTGTTTAAGCATTACATATTTAGGTTCAGGTTCTGCTGACTCTGATCTATCTGCCATTTTATTTGTGTTAGTCAGTAACCTATCAGATAATCTAACTAGTCACTGAATGTTCTGAGCATTGGAGTCATAAAATATATGTATATTTAATGCTTAAATATATGTGTATGTGCTTTAACTTATGTGTATGCTTCTTTTAACTATCAGTAACACAACAGGGCAAACATTAACATCTCGGTGGAAAACAATGAGACCTGAAACAATAGCGGAACACATGGTTTTAATAACTTCCTTTATTCTTTTATCTTCTTGTAGATCCTGTTCCCATTCATTTGTTCACTGTACATATGCTTGAAGTGACTTGTAATTGTTCAAGTTCAAAAGAATAGGCACTCCAGCCACACACCAGATATGAAAAGATTTTTGAGTTAGTAGAGTAGAAACATTGTCAGAGAAAGTAGAATATGCAGGTTATTTCTCTGTTTGGGAGTTCCTATGGATCCACGTCTTCAATAAGAGTAATTTTATCCATGTATCATTTCTGTTACCATTACCATTTTTTCTAGTGGGTTTGAGCATATTTGTATCATGATGCAAAGTAGGGGTTTATGGTTAAGCGTGGTGAGCAGAGGTACACTGACATACTGAAAGGCTCACATGCAGACCTCCAAAGTTCTAACATAGTGTTGTGTGTGTATCTACTGTGCTTAACATTATTCAGCATTCAGACAAGTGCTGATGAAATGCATGCTCACATGTAACTGTATTTTGTTTACATAGAGTAATATAATGGAAGGTTAGGTATATGTTCATGATTCTGCAATTGATTTTTTTCCCTTCAGACCTTGTGGAGTTTTCCCATATGCTTGTTTCCTTGTTGAGTACCAATAGCAAAGTCATCACCTTGTGACCTTGAATCCCACATGGCTAGTCTATAAAAAAAGGTCCCTGCTGTGTCACGCTTGTCCTTGGCCATGTTCGTTAAATTCAGTGACACAGGTGGCGCTGGCAGTCCTCTACTTAAAACTACTGTTACATACTTAACCTTCCGTTATATTTTTTTCATTGCTGGCCACAAGGGCAGTTTTCTTCTAAAATATTTTAGAATGTGCATTAAAGTCATCACAAGAGTTTGATGGTGCACCTCACCAGACAATAACAGACAACACTCATAAATAGTGCAAATAGCATACTTTATTGAAACTGAAAATCACTCAGCCAAGTGTTATTACTGCTTCTTATTAAGGATGACAATCACTCCATGTGCCAATAGTATTGAATATTGAGGATAGAAATCACTCAACATTCTGATACTGCCCTTTATTGACGATGGGAATCACTAAATGAGCTGATATTATATTCTACTGAGCGTAGGAATCACTCCGAGTCTTAATGCTGATACAAGAACTCCAAAACATTCCTTATATTGCAACATAAGGGGTTCATGCCTACTGTTTCACACCGAAAAACATTCCACTGCATTAGTTTAGGGGTTCTAAAAATGCTGCAGTACTAGCCACACAGATTTGATTTTGAGGATGTTTTTTCATCTTCCTTTCACTTTAATTTTTGTCCCCACAAGCCCACTTCCCACTTCTGTTGTTACTGTTTCCCATTTTACAGGGAGAACACCTAAGTGCATACCCTGAAGCAGAAAATGCAAGCTGGACCAACACCTCAGGGCACATATACATGTTCTTGTCAACAATACCGTCACATGCTTCTGGCTGACAGCCATTGAGCAGTCAAATGACAGTGTCATTGAGAATACTGAAATGGTTTCCAGTTTTACCAGTGGGTTGCTGACAACATCTTTGCCAGACATTGAAAATCTATATATGATTGCCTTTATGACCGAGACAGCTCCATCTTCTGTCAGAAAGGCTCATGTGGCCTGCAAGTGAAGTTTAATGCCTGTAAATTGAAATGGATTAGACACTTGTCCAGCCATACAGGGTGTACAGCAATACAATAATGTTGTTGTTCTTCTTCTTTCGGCTGCTCCCGTTAGGGGGTCGCTACAGTGGATCACTGGTCCGCATATTTGATTTGGCACAGTTTTTACACCAGATGCCCTTCCTGATGCATCCCTCCCCAATTTTATCCGGGCTTGAGACCCAGATGAAATTGGGAGTGCACTGTCGTGTGCAATCCTAGTGGCTGGGGTTGGTTCCCTGGCCAGGACTCGAACATGGGCCTTGGCTGTGAAAGTGCCGTGGCCTAACCACTAGTACTCCAGGGACCCACAGCAATAAAATAATAATGGTGAAAATAGTAATAAGCCAAATATTATAACTAACCTACGATGTGCATCAGCTCACGCTATCTGATGGTACAAGATTATCCAAAAAAAAATCAAAGGATTACAAAACTACAGTCAGCATCCTGGAATCCAATTTCTCAAGGCAAGAATAGGAAAGAGGAGGAACATGACAGCGAGGACCTTTTATACCCTACCCAAATGGGCTCATGGTCACAAGGTTGATGACTTTGATATTGATATATTTATATTGGTACTTGGCAAGGAAATGAGAAAACCCCACTAGTTTTAAAGAAAACATCCCTGGTGGTCCACAGCAAAAGGAAAAATACTATTTATAAAACCAAAAAAATAGTGTTTCAGTTCAAATTATCTAGCTAAAATGTTGGGGTAGCTAACATGAACATTAGAGAAAATGTTGTTAGTAAAAATATGAGATATATTTTTTTTATATAATAATAATATATATTATTATTATTATTATTATTATATATTCTCTTTTAATGTGACTTTGTCTATAGAGAAAATCTGAAAAATCTCAAACTGCTTCGCTTCTGGTTGTCTTTAATACCTAACAATATGGTATGGTTATTCAAAACCTGCAAGTAAGTTGTATGGATCTGCTTCTTCTCTGTTTGTTCTGTAAAATGAGAGACTTCAGTTTTTGCACATCCCTAAATGCACATCCCTCTACCCCAAATCCCCAAACTTGCCAGTCTGTCACCCCCAACACCCCTTAAAAGTCCACATGTTCACACATAGGTGGGCATAGAAGTATAAACCAGGCCTTAGCTGTTGGGTGCTAGCTATATTATCTTCCATGCTAATGACTCCGAAAAGGAACAGACAGGGTTGGTATAACAAAGATCATAAAACTGGCAATATGGCGCTGCCCTTGACCTTTGATAAATCCATTTACAAATTCAATTGTATCAGTGTAACCTTTTTGACACACACTGATATTCCCTGTATACATTTTTCCACTAGCCTTAAAGTGTTTTTATGTTTTATTTCACTTTAATGTATTTCAGCAACTAAGAGCATTACATCTGTTCTTGGACCTCTGTCTGACCACAGGCAAATCAAGCTTTCTGCTTCATTATTCCTTACAGGGTGCTTTCCTTTTATGAACCACATGTGCTTACATGTGCTTTCACATCTGGATTATTTTTTCTCAATGTATTTTACTGTATATGTTTATACCTAAAAAGACAAAAAAAATAAATAGCTGGGATTATTGACTAGCAATAGCCTATATGAAACACGTCTGGACAACATTGTAGAAAAGTCTAGACGATTCATGGCATGGCCAGTATAGACAAGGACCATTTGTTCTATAGATAACTTAATTTTTAAATGAACTAATCCCACACTGAAAAACAAAGGACGTGTTTTTTTAAAACTCCATTAACTTGATATTTAGATCTTTTTGCCTCTATGTATGACTGGCTAATTTACTAGACTGGCTGGTCATTGTTGTGGAAAGGTGGAAAGGTTAATGGCAATATTATGCTTATACATTTGGAGCAAAAAGTATACATATGTTGAGGTATACCTGTTCTTTACTGAAATATGCAGGTTCTTGGGTTTTCAGAAAAGACAAGTAAATATCTCGAAGCTTTTTATTTATATCAACATGAATCAGAATAGAGATATACACCATATCAGCCATAACATTAAAACCAGTGACAGGTGAAGTGAATAACATTGATTATCTCATTACAATGGCACCTGTCAAGGGGTGGGATATATTAGGCAGCAAGTGCACAGTCAGCTCTCAAAGTTGATGCGTTGGAATCCAGAAAAATGGGCAAGCATAAGGATCTGAGTGCCTTTTATAAGAGCCAAATTGTGATGGTTAGACGACTGGGTCAGAGCATCTCCAAAACGGCAGGTCTTATTGAGTGTTCCCAGTGTGCAGTGGTTAGTACCTACCGAAAGTGGTCCAAAGAAGGACAATTGAAGAACTGGTGAGAGGGTCATGAGCGGCCAAGGCTCAGTGATGTGCGTGGGGAGCGAAGGCTAGCCCGTCTGGTCCCATCCCACAGAAGAGCTTCTGTAGCACAAATTGCTGAAGAAGTTAATGCTGCTTAAGATACAAAGGTGTCAGAACACAGTGTGCATTGCAGCTTGCTTCGTATGGGGCTGTGTAGACGCAGACCAGTCAGAGTGCCCAGGCTGACCCCTGTCCACCGCCAAAAGTGCCTACAATGGGTACATGAGCATCAGAACTGGACCATGTAGCAATGGAAGAAGGTAACCTGGTCTGATGAATCACGTTTTCTTTTACACTGCGGAGGTAGTGTGATGCTCTTGGCCATGTTCTGCTGGGAAACCTTGGGTCCTGGCATTCATGTGGATGTTACTTTAACACGTACAACCTACCTAAACATTGCTGCAGACCAAGTACACCCCTTCATGGCAACGGTATTCCCTAATGGCAGTAGCCTCTTTCAACAGGATAATGTGCCCTGCCACACTGCAAAAAATGTTCAGGAATAGTTGAAGAACATGACAAAGAGTTCAAGGTGTTGACTTGGCCTCCAAATTCCCCAGATCTCATTCTGATCGATCATCTGTGGCATGTGCTGGACAAACAAATCCGATCTATGGAGGACCCACCTTGCAGCTTACAGGACTTATAGGATCTGCTGCTAACATCTTGGTGCGAGATACCACAGTTTCAGAGGTCTTGTGGAGTCCATACCTCGACGGGTCAGAGCTGTTTTGGTGGCACAATGGGGGCCTACAGAATATTAGGCAGGTGGTTTTAATGTTATGGCTGATCGGTGTATGAACAAAAGCTGAACTGTACCTCATGACATTAGTCCCCTCTGACTGAAAATTCTCTTCAACACTGTTACTGGAGTATTGTTTTACTCAATGGCCAACATTTAATGAATGCTAGGCTTTATTAATAGTGGGAAACTTTAGTGTTGTACAAGAACTTTTATTTCTTGAAGACCTCAAATTATAGGATGCAAGGAAATGTTAGATGCAATATTCCTTTTATAAGGTTTTATGTTACATTTAAGTAGATGTAGAGCACTGAGCTTGTATATAAGTATGTTTTCCTCTGTGGAAAACATGAGATTGTGAGAATAACTATGATAATAAAATGTAGTTTTTACACTGAACTTGTTCAGGATAATATAACGTATTTTACTCTGTATATCTATCTGTTTATGGAGACACAAGGGACATTTTCCCTAAAAGAGCTGGATGTTGTAAGTAAATATAGTACTAAACCATAAACTCAAATGTGGTGTTAGTGAATTTTAAATAATGTACAGTTTTTGTGACTTTTCCCTTCTATATTTTTACAGAAATATCATTTTTTAAAATGCGGCATTAAGTTATCCTGTTGTTTTAAAGTGATACACCGTGCATCTGTAGAATGTACTGCAAGCAGAAATAAAATAAGTAGTGATACTCACTTGGCTTTACCTTATTCTGTCTATGTGTGGGTTTTTTTGCAATGCATGTGAATGAAGAAGTTTATTGAATTAAGTGTCATTAAACAGGGAAATGACCAAATTTGTGCTTAACTTTGACCTTTCAGTCTGTCACTTCTGTCTGTCAGTCTCACACAATTTTCTCACTGTGCCAGTGATTGGGAAACCTTGGGGAGCCTGTTTGTGTGTAGCTCTCTGGCTTCCTTATTGGCATGCGACTATCATCTCATTTCATTCTTTTTCGGTAGTAGATACTGAAGAATGCACTGCATACTTGCATCTCATCTCTACTTTATTCTGAGGAGCAATTTTAAACCTTGCTCTTTTGGACCAAAATGATGTTCTCTCTTGTAGTGGTCTTTCTCTTTCTTTCAGGAAGCTTTTGTCCTTTACTGATGTACTCATTTCTTTATGATGCCACTCAGACCTCTCTGACTGCAACCAACTCTAACACAAATTTCTCATTGTGAACATCCTTCCTCTGACCGAACAACAATATTCAATTTTCTTTTTGTCCCACAATTCCCACAAGTTTCTTACTTGTTTTCTGCTCAGCTCCAACTTATAAATGAATGTTAACACTGCTTATTTATTAGTACCTAACAGCTATATTTTGGACTTATTTTGGACCCTCTATTGACTGGCTATTAACACACCTACTATAATTGATCATGACAGTCATTTTGTATACGTTGAGCATAGAGTATATCCTTCCTATCAAACCTATACAAAGACCATGGCAACCACAATATTCAATACAATTCAGTTTTCTTTGTGTAATACTTTAACAATAGATGCACGATATGGCCAAAAGTTTGTGGACACCTGACCATCACATATGTGTTTTTGAATACCACATTCCAGATTTAGTCCCCCTTTGCTGTTATAAAAACCTCCACTCTTCTGGGAAGGCTTTCCACTAGATTTTGGAGCCTGGCTTTGGGAATTTGCCCATTCAGCCACAGGAGCATTACTAAGATCAGGCACTGATGTCAGGCAAAGAATCCTGGGGCACAGTCTCCATTCCAATTTATCCCAAAGGGTGTTCAGTGGGGTTGACATCAGGGCTCTGTGCATGCCACTTGAGTTCTTCCACTCCTTGGCAAACCATGTCTTCATGGACCTCATTTTGTTCACAGGGGTGTTGTCATGCTGAAACATATTCGGGCTAGGCCCGTTAGTTCCAGTGAAGGGAAATTATAATGCTACAGCATCCAGACATCCTACACAACTTTGTGTGCTTTCAACTTTGCGGCAACAGTTTGGGAAAGGCCCACATATGGGTGTGATGGTCAGGTGTCCACAAACCTTTGGCCATATAGTGTAGTTTCACAAAGTACTTTACCAAAATCCTGATGTAGATTTAGATTTATAGTCCCAGTGAGCAAATCAGAGTTGACAGTGGCAAGGGAAAAAAAATCTGTAGGTCTACTTGAAGAAGAATGCTTGAGAGAAGCCAGATTCAAAAGGGAACATGTCCTCTTTAGGGTAACACCGGATAGTGTGATGATAAATCATTACAATTCT